AATGCTATCTGATGTCATCACATTAAACAATAACAAGCACTCAGTGTAAACAGGAAACAGGAAGTTGAGCTCTGACAGACCAACAGACAGAGAGGGAAACTCATACTACACATATAGCTAGATGAGCTATTTGAAATGACAGATCAGAAGGAAAAGCAGGTTTAACTGAAAGGGTGATGAATATTGTGACAGTATTACCACATAGCTTTTATCCAGTGGCTTACAGTAATAAAAATTCTATTCAAACATGTTTTCACATCACATTATTTACACTTTGCAAACAGACAAACAGTGCTGAATGGTCTTATTTTGTGACGCGTGCAACCACTAACTGATCAGTTACTGGCAGTTAGGATAGGTACGCAGGCATTAGCAAGTTGTTTCACACACGCACGTAGAGGAAGGTGGTGAAAATCATCATTCTGTCGGAAAGCTCTGCCAAGAAACTTGGCAGGCAGGTGAAATAAGACATCTAAAGAAAGCAGGGAGACAGAGAAGAGACAGAGGAGGCAGGAGCAGCAAAAGCACTGATCTGTTGTTCAGTTTGTCTGCACTAACTGACTGCAATTTCTCCACCTGTCAGCAACAACTCACTAGAATCATGTGCGTGTGTCTGTGTGTGCGTGTGTGTGTCTTTGTGCGTATGTTTAGGTGTTTGTGTGTGTTTTGGAGAGATTTTTAGTTTTTTCTCTTCCAAGGCAGCATCGTTATTCTTGGCTCAGTAGAATAGCGAGTCTTCAGGGAATAAAACGGACACAGGCATTCAGTCTTAGACACTCACACTCTTTTGCACACACACACACAAGGCTGGAATTCCCCCGGATGTCACCCTTGCCCCATTGGCATTGTAACTGTTTAAATGACAGGAGAGTAGCCGAAACAAAACTCCCATAATCCTCTTTCCTCATTCTCTCCTCCATTTGTTTCTCCTTCACACATTCTCTGTATCCCATGCTCTTCTTAACTGTGTTTCTCTCTCTCTCTCTCTCGCTCTCCATCCCGACGCCCTCTCCCTCCCCTCTCTCTGTCACTTCCTGTCTCTCTCTTCAGGTCTGTGTTAGCCCTATATATTAAATATTAATGTCAGTTGTGCTCTGAGCCATAATTGTCATCTCAGCCTCTGAATAATGGATGTAACTGTGCCGTTCACTACTACACCATGGCTAACAGCCTAAAAAAAACAGCATCCAACTGTGGTTTGCTGCGTTACTATGGATTACAGGCTAAATAACACTAGCATCCTAGCGTGGTTGATAGCCATTATCATGGCTAAGAGAAACAACAGTAACTACAAGCTTAAAAACCCCCCACTAGCATTCAACTCTGGATGACAACGTTACATTTTAGCTCAGAAGCTCTAGCATGACACTATAGGCCTACTTCATTACCATTTTTTACAGGCTGAAATAAAACTGGCATTGCACAGTGGTAAACTGTGTAATTTACTTAATGGTTATAGATTTCATTGGTTCACCACAGCGGGAAGCTGTTAACAAAGTTAGCAGGTGAAATGAACTAGCAGTTAAAGAACCAGGTATTATTCTCTGGAGTCAAACCATAAGGAAAGTGAATATTGGACTAAAAGGACCCCCAAATCAATGTTATTGTTGCTCTGTGTCTGTGCTGAGTAGGCAATGTTTTCCAACTGAGCAATGTCAGCTTTATAAAGTGATAATGACGTATATCGTGATAGTTGGTTCGTTGCATAATGTGTTGATTCTTCTTCCCCTTCAATGGCCAAATGAAATTAACCCTTTTTACAGCAGACATTCTGATTTAAGGGTAAAGCACTGGTGTAATTATTAAAATTCATGATGATTCCAGTACCTTCCAACCTTTACTTCCTGACCCTTGTGCAAAACAAAACATACCCTATACATACAATAACTTAATGTGTCAGAGCCTGTAAGTTGTAGATTTAAAAAAAGCCATTGTATTTTACTAACCGGACTGTGCCAGATGGTTTGTTACACAAAATCAATGAGATCAATAAACCATATAATGTAGTCAAACTCTTACTGAAACCAGTCAGAAGAAGAGTGAAAACATCTTTTTCTTCAAGAGAAGCCGTCAGTGCCCTTCACTGCTCTTCTTTCACTGAAGAAATACTCTTAAGTCCTGATATAAATTAGGCTAGCAGCATATACGCTAACCTCTACACGCCCCATAGCTAGCCAGTTCTTGGTCTGGTACCACGTAGTTTGGCCATAAAAGCATAGACTGAAGCCTGGCAAGATGGATTCTCGTGTGATTTTGCAATCTGGCAAGTCTAGCTGCCTCGCAAGGTTAATATTTTTGTGACAATAATATAAAATCTTTCGTGGTTTTCATAGGGTGTTCTATGAATCATCATTCACATATACTTTACCATGACTTGCAGCTTAAATGAAGTTGATTGTTCTGGTGTTCGTGACAGTGCCCTACTACAACGAAAAGACTAAGAGATTTTTTTTACCTTTCCCCATGTTTCACTATCTATTGGAATAAAAAAAAGGCTAAATGCAAAACATAATAATCTTGACAAGTGTAAAAAGATAAGCTTCTACTTTAGTTTTCCATCTTACCTCCTACTTCTTTCCATCTATAGTTTTTACTCTCTGCATACTACCATTCTTACACTTTCCTATCCAGATGGTGTGTGTGTGTGTGTGAGAGAGAGTCTCTTTGTGTGTTTGTAGCATGCAGCAGTGGTGTGTCGGGTCACCTCTCTGAGTGTGGTACTCACAGTATAGCAAAGGTCAACAGCGCTGTTATCACTTGAACATGATCGGGCCTCTGAGAGAGGGAGTGAGATAGAGGAGAGAGGGGGAGAGTTCTCCCCTCCCCCACAGTCATTCAGACTCTTATAATTGCCCAGTTTAATTGGAGGCCTCTTAACGACCAGTGACTGGACCAGCCAATCAATTCACACAAGGTGTCTGTGTGTGCGTGCCTTTGTGTGTGTAGCTGCGGGGCCTTTTTGTAGCTGAGTTGATTAGGCTAGATGGGGTCAAGTGAAGGGGGAAGAGAAACGCACACATACTGCATTAAAATGTAGAATATGTTCTGTTGGAAATCAATGAGAGAAAACGCTCTCACAGTAAATGGATCGAGCAGTAGATGGAAATACAAAAAATAACGAGCGATATCATCAGAACTCCAACGATAGAAGGAAATTATTTGCTTTGTGAATATATTGTGAGGGCGGATTGATATTATTAAATTAATGGGTCACACGAGATTACGTTGATGTTTTAAGTCATCACTATGTTTTTCAGTGGTGCAGCTTTAGAGAGAAGAACTTTCCTCAGTTACTTCTGGATGCAGCAGAAACAGGGGTACAGAGGTGGAAAGTGAAGAAGTACATTTACATGTAAGCACTGCACTTAATGGAGCCCTGTGGAGCTGTTGGCCACTAGTAGTGCTGTACAGGAATGTTTTGATAAACAGGTCCTAAACAAGTACAAGGTTCAGAAGGCAGAAACTTTAACCTCTTTAGAGGGCAGTAATGGTTGGCAGCAGTATTGAGCTTAAAGAGGCAGCAGTGTGTCAGTAAAAGAGAAGTAGAAGAAGCCCACGAGCTGATGTGAACAAGTTTTGAAACATGTTTATTAAAACAAATGTTTGAATATACACAATGCATTTGGATGAGAGGGATGCACTAGTACTGATTCTACCTCAACTCAGGGTTTCTACAGATCCAAAGCCAGTGCATTTGTTTTTAAGTCTGTAGACCACATTGTGTGGAGCTCATTCAAATCATTTTTATGTAAAGTAACATGAGGCCAGGGATTACTTATTATTTACTAACTAAAACCTGAGTCAGCCACTGAAAAAACACAGAATTTTGTGTTTGTATCGTATTGTAACGGACAAACCAAACACTGGCGGCAGATAGGGCCTTTCACATTCTCACGGCATGAAATACAGATGCGAGTGGTGTTCGGTTAGTTGCAGTCTGCAACTTCACCACTAAAGCCTACACACTGGTCTTTTAAATGTATTTATCAGAGTACTTTAACATGTTCTTGAGTATATATTATTTTTACTCACACTAGATTATTTTTAATTCATGACTTTTATTTTTAGTGGAATATTTCTAAAAGCTCTGAACACTTCTTCCATAGCTGCTTTAGTCTTTTTTATATTTCAGGCAGATGAGCAGGGGAGTGTGTGAGCCTCCCAACCGCCTCCATTACACAGAGAGTTACAGCGGGGGGTCAGCTGAGGTGGTCGTGTTAACGCTATGCTAGTGTTGTGAGAAGGACTAGACAGTGGGAGGTCAGCAGGGGTCACCGTGGCTGTCCTCCGCTGTGATAGGCTGTCACCCAGGGGTGAGGGGTCAAGATAATTAGGCATGCAGAATCCCGGCGCCGGTGTTATAACGAAGCTTGAGCTCGTTAACGCAGAGTTTTACACTCAGACCTGCCACTGGGCTGTGCTGCACCGTCACACACACACATAAACTCACATGAGGAGTACATGTTTGCACACACATTCATATACACACACAAAGAAGCCCACACCTCTGCTTTGTTCTCGTGGTCCACTACAAGGGCTGTCATCTCTTGAACATTAGAGCACTGGGCTCTGCCACAAGGGACCTGGGGTGATGCAGACTTGTGAGAAGTTCAAATTATTTTAGTACTGCATGCAGTTTAGATACAGACGGTGGACATAATATGATGAAACCAAATATAATAGGAACTATTAATATTACGTTTTTGTTGCAAGAGAGTGCAAAAAAGTTTTTGTGTATGAATACATAATGCAACAGAATCAGATGGAAAAGGTTTAAATGCAGAGGTGAGTGCCAGAGGAAATATTGCCCTGCATGTGAGGTTGTGCAAGGGTATTGCTTTTATTGAGCTGTAACACACACACAGATGTAACAAACACAAACGTACATGCAAACATGAAC